AAGCCACGATTCTTTCAGCAGCCTCAGGAGAGAGCTTCCTGGGATCACGACATGACTATAGCAACGGTTTGAGCAACGGCCAGTGAAATCGAGTCATTAAAAAGGCAGAAAATGACTAGAGTCGGGCCACGATCCATGGCGATTCGTTGCGTCCTCGTGGTTCTCCGATCTTTAGTTTTTTTTATCAACGATTCGGCGGTTGAACGGGCCAGCCTTCAATGAATATTTCTTTTGAAACGGGGACACAGACAGGGGCATTGTCCCTTAAAGTTGGGCACACGGATCTATCGATAACGCTTGTTAATTTATAATTTCGATATTGTACTAAAATTTGTAATACTAAGGCTATTTTTTTTAAATGACGAAATTTTGATAAATTCTTGTCGAAAGTCTTGCAACAATGAAAAGTTTAATATTAGTATTTTAATAAAAATTCAAGAACAAAAATTCTTCAAAGGAATTGCTTCTTGCTTATAATAAAAAGCATAGAATTATTCTGAATTCGTGACAGGTTGCATACATCCAGGGGCAGCCCCTAATTACTCCAGAAACTACATTTGCTGCATATTTCCTTTCCTTTTTTTCAGACACATCTAAAACACCGAATTCTTTCTTTTTTCTCTAATATTGATTACTCCAAGCTAAAATTAAATCCGTTTTCAGCTAATAAGCATCGGAAGCAATATCGTTTCGCGTGGCTCGCGGCACAATGTTGCCTAACTCCTCCCCCTTCTCTCGACTGACGTGCAATCCAACTTCGGAAACTCCGCGCTGTCTGGGATATATCGTATTAAGTCGCGATACAAAGTGCCGTGCCAATTTCCCCGCTGCTACTGCTTCTGCTAATAACCGTGCGCACAAGAATTGTTCGACGACCGGGACAGGGCTTTTGTATATTCCTCTTTGCGGGCTACCTCAAAGAGGACGGCCTCTGATAATGCCGCTTGAAGAATAGGGAACAAGACACAGGGTGAATGGATATCTCCATTTTAGTTTGTCTAGTCTTCAGTGCGCGATACTTGAAAAATTCCGTCGCGAATATTCGTAGAGATAGTAATATTAACCATGCACAACTGATAAGAAAAATTGAGATTAATTATAAACTCATTTTGGTAGGAGAAGTAGGAATTGATTAATGTTCTTGAAGATAGATTTGGACGAAAATTGTAGGAAAGATTCTAGGTAACGAGATGAATCGAAAAGGTGAAATAAGAAAATTGCGATAGAGGCTTCGTTTGGAAAGTATAAAGGTTTGAAGAGTGGGCCCAAGAACACCTGATGCATGGCAACCCGACGCGTGAGGGCCAATATTGTAGGGTTCAGTTGAGGGCGATTTTCTTGGAAACTGATTAACTTATCGACTTTAAACTTGGTATACACATAAAGCACGCTTCATTTTATCGATCTAAACAAGAATTTACAAAATATCTCAATCTTAAGTTACCTTTTTTAAACGTCAAAGTTGAAAGATGACATGCAGCTTTAAAATCCACTTCTCAGACATGTTTCTTCTGAAATAACGTTATGGAAAATTGGTGTAACCGATAAGACTTGGTGTAACCGATGGACGAAGCCATCCAGGCGAAAAGAAAGTGTCGTACGCACCCGGAAGCCTCGGAAAATGGGAAGCCAGTTCGCGAAAGCCTCAGAAGTGGCAAGATGGATCGATCTGGAGATGAAATTCCTATTTTTACCAATAAATATCCTCTGACAAGCGATTTTCAACCTTTTAACCGGTGAATGGTAAGGCTTACAATAATTTTCTGTCCGCTCTGAGGAAAGTTTCATTGAATTTTCTGGGAACGGATGGCTCTTGTCCGCGTTTCGTAATACGAAAGTAGCAGAGAGCAATACCAGGGGCCCTGGTGTTTGGTAATAGAGTTATTATCGGGCTGAAAGCTGTCTCGTACATCGGCCAGGGATTCAATTAGAAATGTAATACCAGTAGAATCGTTTCTTTTCCCGTGGAATCGTGAGTGCACCTAGAAGAATTGATACAGGGAAGCTTCCGTTTTCGATGGGAGAGTTCGTCGCTTTTTCCTCTAGTTAGATTATTACGTTTCAGAGATTGGAGGCAGATGAGGCGAAATTGTGTAACTAACCCAGTTACTTCAGCTTCAATGCAGTGCGAAATGGAAGCAGTATGAGACATCGTTATGGTATCGGGTTATTTGTAATGAATATGAAGATTAGGGGGTTGTTCAAAGGGAATGTGATTCAATTACTGAATAATTTACAAGGATATTTGAATATTGGTTGTTTAGGAGAAATATAAATGATCCTTTCTAACCTTACTTGGTTTCTTTAATGAATTCTACTTTGAAATTCACGTTTGCCTCTGTTGGGTTATCACGTTTAAGGGATTGGAATACGTATGTACAAATGAGTACAGTACATCTGAAAATTTGAGAAAAGTGTTTCTTTGCTTAAAATCAACTTGGAAGAAATACTCTTTGAAAATTCCACTTTTTCCTGCTAAACTACTGCATCTGAGAAATTGCAATATGAAACGTAGAATATCGTAAATTCTATTCATAATTTACTCAAAGAAAAGTCAAGCAGCCCCTAGAATTCATTCTCGATAAAATAGAAACTCATTCCCTTACTAAATCATTATCAAAGCCCGAAATTCAGGTTAGAAATAAAAAGAAAAAAGAAACACAAAGTGTTGCAAAAGAAAATCAAACATTTATTAAAAAGTTCCTCTGAAATGTCTCAAAATTGAAAGACATAAAAATTGTGCTTCGTATCGATGGACACATTTCACCAACTATAATTCTCCTTCTAATTTCCTTAACGAATTCAGTTTTCAGCGGATCGATCTCGATCGCGATTCGGAACGCCCACGACGTCCGGCCGTCCATCCGGCTGTTTCCGGAAGTAGGCGTGACCGAAATTGATACGAAGGAGAGCACACCAAATCTAGAAGTTCTCGGTTACCTCGTTTCCTATACACACGTACGTCTACGTATGTAGAGGCACGTGTTCTTTCCATCAGACTGAGAAATGGCTGTTCATCAGTCAGGAAACAATGTTATCGCTGTTATTCGATAACAACCGTGACGGTGTCTCGCATATCCTACAACGATGCAGAATGGACGCGTATTGAGAGAGATGGAGAATTTTATTTACCATCGAATACATTGAGGGGTGGGAGGGAAGGGGGTTCATTGTCGTTGAAAGCTTGGAACAGTAGGTGGAGAGTTTGATCATGGGAGATAACGTAGTTACGCGTGTCTGCATGGAGAAACCATTAGTCGCCGAGCGAAATTCCTGGAGAAACAATTTTGAATATTTATGTTCTAAATGATCGAGTATTCGAGTGTGTGAATACTTGGATAATTGGTTACTTGAATATTTGAGTGTTCGGATGTTTGAATATTTGTTTGTTTGGCAGGGGTGTGAGAGAACTCGAAAATGTCGGGTCGAGAATTTATCTCGAGGTCGGGTCGGGTTTCCGAAAGTATCTCGTGATTCGAGATTGTCGGGATTTTCGAGAATTTCGGGGTTCTCGAGAATTTCGGAATTCTCGAAAATTTCAGAATTCCCGAGAATTTCAGGATTCCCGAAAGTAGAACGAAACTATTATCGGAGAACGTTTGCTTACCGTTTGCTTACGTTGGATCACACATTTGCTTACCATTTTCGTTCCATGTTCTATTTCTTGTAATTTTATAATTCTCGAGAATCCCGAAATTCTCGAATTCTGAGACACTTTCGGGACCCGACCCGACCCGACCATCGCACACCCCTGATCTTTGGATATTTGAACGTTTCGATATTTGAATATTTGAATATCTGATATTTTAAATTTGATTTTTCAATATATGGACATTTAAATAAACGAATATTTGAGTGTTTGAATACTTTGAATTTTGCGAATATTAATAATAATTTTTCCCGATTGTTTTCCCAGTTTAAAGCTGCGTCACATATCACTATTAAATGAGAAAACTCGAGGATTCTGTTTCAAGAGGATAATACACCGTTCGGTACACCGGAGGGAAAAAATTCAGATCGATCTTTCGCGATAATCTTTTCATTTTCGCCGACAGAAAACGCTGGTACACTCCGTGTACTTAGAGGAGTGCATCCTCTGCGGAAGTG